ATCGGGATTCAGAATCCTAACTTATAAACGAAGAATTAATTATTTCTGAAACGCAGATAAAAAGAGTCAGTCATGAACTATTACGACTTTATATTGTATCATAGAAGGAAAAATAGAGGGAAGAAGTATTGATAGGAAGATATTATGATTGCGGAATCTAAGAGAGTGGTTTGAGATGAGTTGTAACTCTTCAGAGCTGCAGTCAACAAGATTAGGATTGTCTTGATTATTGCTAATCTCCGATAGAAGAAGGGAAAAAATCAGGGTTTTTAGTAAATTAAAGCCGAAAATCACCTTATTTATTATTACAATTTATTACAAATATTGACGTGCTATTTTTTACGATCGTGTTTAGCGCGAAAACAATTTTGAGACATATATTATAACACGTCAGAAAAAAAGTGATTTTTTTTTATTGAACTATATATGTATAATTATACAGAAAGTCTAAAATTCAAATAGCTTGATGAAAATGAGTCGTGTAATCATCAACTAAAATTCATTTAAAAACTCTTGAATTGTACTTTTTCGTATCGTGAAATTTATTTAGAAACAATTGAGATTTTGTTCTGCTATAAAAAAAATGTTGAAAATGGACAAAAACATTTTTTTAGCCTATTTTACTTTAATTTACTCCAAATCCTGACACGCTACGTAAATTTTATGCGTTTAATACGTAAAAATCTTCGGGATATGTACTACGATATTTTGAAAAGAAAAAAGTGACGACTTTTTGTCGAACAGTGTTATTAAAAAGTCATTTTTTCAATCAGTTTCATCATTGATTAATTTTTGTCATTTTCACATTATCGTGACTTTATCCTGTTTGAGCGGCTCATCGATACTTATTGCGTTATTTAATTTACGCTACGTATTCCGCGAAAGAAGTTGTTTCTTTTTCTACGTAACAATTTATTCTGATGAATTATTTGCACGCGACACGCGTGATCGGTTGATTAACCAATTCGTATGCGTCGACAGTTTCTAGTGATTCTCAGGTATGGTAGGAATCGCGCACTTTCTCTCGGTGGTGTAATTTCGATACTTACGTATATGATATTTCATTTCGTTCTCGTGTTTCGGCGCGAACACCGTCATGTCAAAGTCTACCGGATATGTGAAGGTGAGCCATCTCTCGTGTGGATCCGCCTCGGCCGTGAGCGCTTGGAAGAGCGCTGGCACTGGCTCGCTGAATTCCTCCACGTGAGATTTCCTGCTCAATGGATTGTCGGTGATATTCGGCTTCGGGCATAAATCTGCACACTCACAGAAATGTATTATATCATTTATGTATAAGGGTCGCGTGAAAATTATCCTTAGAAAGTAGGATTAAACCGGATTAAGGCGGTTTATAAATTAGATACCCATTCCCTCTCACGTACAAAGCATTTCAATAAATTACAAATCGTTAATAATATTTAATAATTATTTTAATTATTATAAATTTTATTTTTTTTACGCAGAGATTATTTTTCAAGAGTGACATCGACACATTTTATAGAATTATAGAGAATATGCTTGAAATAGTGATCGGAGAAGAAATAATTTATTTTAGTCCACATATATCAGAATGTAATTTATAACTATATATTTTCGGTGTACATTACAGGCATAGCGGCTAGTCACGTATGACATTTACCAATATTTATGAAATGTTGATGTTATTAGTACACTAATCAATTAGGAATATCTAATTCGTCTTATCTTTTATATTCTTACTTATATACATCTATTTTTATGTTGAGCCGCATTTTAATTTATAATTAAATGACATTTTCAAACTTTTGCACGTCTAAATTGAATCTTCCTCCGATCACTCGTTCTTATCTCAGAATGATTATCAGAATTCTCTTTATAAGAATCTATAAAATGTTTCGACCTTAGTGTTTAAAAAGATTATTGTATTAAATCGATTATTAACATTAATTTAATTAATTCAAAAAAACAATTTGTTTAAAATAAAAGGAAATTTTGTCGAAAATTAATGCACCGATAGCTATAGTTCAAATCTATTCGTTTTTCAACTTTCTGTTAGTTCGCCCGCGATTAATTGCTCGTTTGTGCATTGTATTTTGTAATTGTTATAGTTAGCATTTAATAGCTTTTAATAAATTACTATCTTATTAGGATGGGGCTCAATTTCTAATAACAGTATATCTAAATACAATATATCTGGCAAATTGGAATATTGAGAAAGATTTGATTATCCTCGGTATTATCTTACCTACGCACGAGCAGCACTCGTCGTACAGATAGCTCAAGCACGAGAAGCAGTCTTTGCAACAAGTGCAGGTGACCAGGTCGCATTTGCAGCTTTGCGTCAGCATGCACTTGCTCACGACACTGGCGCAGATCGCCTCGTTGCACGCTTCCGAGCGTTTCGTCGCGGTCGTCAACAACAGAATCCCGACGGCGGCCGCGACAAACAATGCACTCCAACTCGTCATCCTGTTTGGGATAGTTTCTATTAGATTCTCTTACTTGACTTGTACAGAACGTCTCACACATTTCGTAAATATTATTACAAGTTTACTTCGAAGAGAGACGAGGAGACAATAAAATCCTTTGAAATTCGATCTACAAACGTAGATAAACAAACTTTTGGAATTTTCCAATTTCAAGAAAATGTTTTAAAATTGTACTGAATACGAATATATTATTTAGTAAGAGATTTGAGTTAGTACGTTATCAAATAGCAGTTTGTTGAGCAGGTTGTTGTATAACTGTCACAGTTTAAAATGCATTGCATAAATTATTAATAAATTCAGTAGTTTTATATATTATACAATTTGTAAATAAAAAAAAAAGATATAGAAATTTTACAGTTAAATGAAAAACGAAGGAATTTAATGCAAGTTATAAATAAAATAAAAATTGTACTAAAATACATTTTGAATTTTCTATATAATTAAAAGAATTATAAGAAGAAGAAATCATTAAAGAGATCGGCATTTTTTAATAGAGAAAACTAAAAAAGAATAGAGCAATTTTAAGAGCAGCTTAGAGATTTCAAAATTTATCATTAAGTCAATTATAAATAATAAATTGTAATAATGAATATTATTATCTAAATTTTTTCTTCTTATAATCAACTCATATATCTTATCAGTATAACATATTGTTGTTTAGGGTCGGTTGTTCCATCTTTGGACAAATTATGTGGTAATTTATCTACGGTAAACAAAACTGAATAAACAAAAGAATAAAGAGATAAGAGAATCAGAGAGTAATATAGTGAGCTGAAGTTTACCATGAGATTATCATGAGATGAGTTTATCAAAAGAACTCAGCCTTAATGTATGATTTTGTTTTAATCTATGCGGCAGAATAATTTTCTAAGATATAGAAAATAGGAGATAAGAGCTCGAATGCTTTATAGCAATATGTTAATAATATCTTGTATATTGATCGTTACAGAATGTCTAAAATACAATCTTTTTCGCATAGCAAGTTTTCCTTTAAGACTTTATAGAAATCGCCGAGACGTAATGGTACTAAAAGCTAAACCACAGACCTACTTGATCGTGTTACCGGTGAAAAATTATACGGCCGCGTTCAACGCAGTCCACGTGATTTTTATATGCACTTTTTTTCCTACTCATGCGTAGATTATTGTTTGTCTGCTCTTAGATGCTGGACAGTGTATGATTATAACGTTTCCCTACTCGCGTCACTCCCGGAGTGATGTTACGGAGACGAGGAGAATGATTATGCCGACGAGGCCCGATTAAGATTATTAAGAATATTCACGAACGTGAGTCAGGGTGTCATTAAGCGGGAACGCGTGCTAAAAAGAATGAAATTTCAGTCTCTTCTCCTGGCAAGCGCTGCTCTAACGTGCTAACCCGAACAATCAGCGTAATGCTGCTCCTATTCATTTCAGGGATAACACCGCGCGAGGTCACTGTTTAAACTCGTTTAAGCCTTTGCAAATTTGGGGGTCTCTTTGCTAATACGACTGGAAGTGATTTCGTTTCCTGCGCGAAGGAATTGTCGCGGATATTCCGGGGCTCATTTGCTACGGCGAGGCACAAAAATGGATTTTCTTTAAAATTATAAACGCAAACGCACCTATAGAAAAGATTTTCGAATCGAATGTCATTGCTTCAAATCTATCATATAAAATATGATTGATATACGGACAATCATATCTATTGTTAACAGATGAATATTTTTCTCTTAAATGAAAATTCTTCAATCTAGAATAAAATGATTTTGAATATAGATTTTGTGCCAAATTCTCCAGCATGCATGACTTCGAGTAAAGATTTGTTCTAAACGTAAGAATATATGTATAAACTTAAATTTGTAATATTATGTTACTTCTCTTTGTTCCAAGACAATAAGTCAATCTTATATTTAATTCAAGGAAGTAGAATAAGAATTATTAATCTAATCTTAATATCGTTTTATACTCCATAAAGATATCCAATATTTTTTGTCTTGTTATTAAAAATCTTTTCTGAGAAGATACAGACAGAGAAAGTTATAATACATTCTCGGGAGATACGTTCTATGTAGAAATTACTTTTGATTACTTGAAGCTCTATCTTTCTCATGTAGAATCTGACTAATTTTTATCTCGATTTTTATTCTGTCAATTACTGAGATTTCTAATAGCGAATTTTTTCTTAAAAAAAAAAAAACATGATAATAAATACATAAATTTAGAGATACAGGAATCACAAAGCAATTACTCCTCGAAATGTTTAAGGTTCCCGTTTATTCACTGTTACTATCTCATAATCAGATTGAAACGTCGAAAGCCAGAAAATACACAATTAAAATTCTTGAAAAATGTATTAATACTGAAATATGTTTTAACAAAACAACACTTACAATCTGCTATCGATAGAGACTGTTTCCAAATTTATTGCCAGTACTGAAAGTCTATAATTTACATCACGTGTACTACAGATTTTCAGAACTAGCAGTAAATTTTGAAACACAGCCAGAATCGACTTGTAAAATATAGCAAAAACTCTTCTTTTGTTGCATTAATTAATAAATAATCATACATACATTTGGAAATTAGATCCGTGGCGTACAAAAAACTTTAAGCAAATTAATTGAAATCAAGGACTTTTAATGTCAAATAATAATATAAGTAATAGAAAGAGCATATAAGAATCAGTTACAAAAATTATAAAAAAAAATTTTTAATTAAAACACAAAATGCACTGTAATTTAATTTGAACAATATAATTTTTAATATTACATGTTTCGGCTATAATATTGAACCATTTTCAGTCAGATATTAAAATAAACGCAGAAATGTTGTAAAATAAGAAATACAGTGATAGAAGAAGTTATAAATTGTACGTGAAGATTATGTCAGATGAGAATACGTCCGTTCAGAAGCGTCGTTTGAATGCATCCAAATATTATTTTATCCTTATTGTTCACAAATGTTAAACAAGGATAAAAAACATCTGAGTGCACTAAAATGATAATTCTAAACGCAGCTCTGAGTGCCTTATAAAGAAACAGAAATCGCTTGCAAGCGATTGGACGATCAATCGTTGATCATTTCTCGATAATCTCTCTGATGAAAATTAAAAGGTTTGGGTTGTTTTTTATCTTATTTGAAAA